AACTCAAAATGAAAACCTGTAATCCTGGACAACTCGCCGACTTTGAATTAAAGTTGTGTTGACGCAACATTAGCCTATAAACGAGTACATTTTTGAGTATCTGAGAGGTTGAATTCCTCCAGACAGCGATTTGTTTTCACAGAACTATTCGAAGAAGCTTGTAGAATGCATAGCAACATCGAGGCTTTTAACACATCTCTGCCATAATTACTCTATTGACGTTTGGGAAATCACCAAGTGTTGAATGTGAGTCACAAAAGCAGCTGAAGAAGCTTCAGTCGATTGGTTACGGCCATCCTCGTTCTGTTTGGTGAAAAAACTTGTATTTTTACAGGACCAAATATTTTGGGTGGCTTTCAAACACACCAATAAGTGACGTCATACTGGTTTGGTAGTGAGAAAACGCTAGGCCTGATCCAGTCATAAGTCACTAATAACGGGTGACTGATACAGTCCTGTAACTTGAGAATCTTCTTTGGAGGTTTCGTCCTGTAAGTGAACCTAATCTGTGCTGAAAAAACGAATAGCTGTTCCATCCTTACGGTTGGTCTTCAACAATGTCGTCAGAGCATTTCCACAGTACCTTTGTCGTGAGCAATCTTGATATCACTTTTGTCAGGAGAACCTCATCATAGTAAACAGCATTCAACAATATCTCACTGATGCCAACTTGCCGACCGGATGATCCGTGATTTAAACGCAACCACGGCAGCTCGACTGTCCCTGTCTAGGATTTAACAACTTGGCAGTATCTTAGCTCTTGCCGTTTTCGTGGGTGACACTACTGCTAAGCTGCCGAATGGTATATAGCTGGACGGTTGTTTCTTTGTGAGTAAAGGCTCTGGCAATAAAAACCAGTCATTTTATATACATATATCTAGTAGATTTTGCTTATACATTCAGGTGATCATTAGGAAAGCCTTTACTGACATCCCAAAGTTTGGGCCACGAGCATATCTGATGCGCTAACAATCTCCCCTCGTTAGTTCATTTGTGCACGCTTTGTATGTCATTCAACACAGGACACGTTGTGGGCCACCAGATTACGTTGTCACACTATCATTTTTTACCGTGAGCATACATACCGTGTTGTCACTGAAAAAAGACTTGAATCCTTACGTAAGTAGTACGGGACCATTCCTCTTTAAACACAGGCCACACAATTTGAGAGCATTTACGGTTCCCACGTGCAGGCTACGTATGCGCCAGAGTAAGCAGCTATTCCGTGGACTCCTCAGTCGTAATATGAAAACGCAGTAAAAAGTGAAGTGATGCCCCATATTTTGAGTAAATTTTCAAACCAAACCTGGCGCTTGTGTTATTCTCATTCAGTTGACCGATAATAACAAAGGGCTGACTGAACAGTCAGCCAGTTATAAATGCCATTGTCGCTAAATCGGCGTCATTGGTATAGCCTAGAAAGCAGAAAATTTCGGTAGTTAAGTGTAGGTTTCCTAAAACTTATTCACGCGATATTTCGTCCTGCAATCAAAGCCCGGAAAGCCCAGAAGCACTTTACAGCTATTTCACTTTAGTTGAGAACCAGAATCTTTGAGCCCCTCACTACTGTCTGAGGACGATTCGAATTTCCAAGCCCCAGGCAAGTAGTTGAACATTTACTCGTTCGGCCAGCGGCGTCCCACCAGCCGTGTAACCAACCGGAACTTAGGACAGTAATACTACCAATCACGGAATCCTCCTCACGTGACAAGTGATCAAGTGACAACTTCTCTGATGAAAGACTCACTCCTAGTGCAAATCATCCTCCATTCTAAGTTACTCTGGTAGTGCGGGGAGACGCGGAAGTGAGGCTGATCTATGCTGAAAAGCCGAGAAGCACTGTTGCATTCGCATTGGGGATCATCAACAGCACGTATTTCACGAAACCATTCAAGCAAAAGCTTTTGATCAACAGTTTTCTCAACTCGTACCTAGACAGGATTTTGCGCTACCCATGCTCTAGTTATTGAATTCATGTGACGTAGCCAACTGCTGAGTGAATACTTCTTCCACACTACGCAATACACTTGTGTTCTTATACCCTCTCCGACCTGAAACTAAGGGTGCATTGGCCACGTGATCAACTCCAGCAAAAAGCTCATGTTCGTTTAAAACAACCACTTCACAGGATTAACGGAGTTTTAGACTGACAAACTGCTTTATGCTGAACGATGCGATACTCTTGATCTGGGTACATCTAGGAGACACGTTTAATTACTAAAATTCCGCCATCCTCCCCAGCCATTACACTTCAGCATCGATTTCCTCATACAGTTTTAAATGTGTACAAATGCTCGTTAAACCATTCGGGGTGCTATTCTATTCGAGTAGACGCTACTTCAACCTCATTTGAACCGTTGAATAGTCTGCAGGGCAGAGTATTTTGGCAACATAGAGCTGCAGTGTCCTCAAACAAGTCCTCTATTAGATGGGAGAAAACACTGGGGATCAAACTAGAAGGTATGTGATTAAGCTGAACCCAGTCCACGAAGCAAGCTGTTCAGTGGGAATTTAGCTGGACTAACTATGCCGAGTTGTGCTACGTTTCTTCGTTAGTCTTGAATTTCACTTTGTAGTGGACACTGGTGGGTCCTTCAAACAGCTGTTTACCAGTTGGGGCGAGATGGCCCAAGTGGTTAGAGCGCGGATTTACTGAGCGGAAGGTTCGTGGTTCGAACCCGACCTCTGCCTCTCGACTTCCCCTGTCTAGGCTTGGGCAACCTGACAGTATCCCGGCCCTCGTGCAACCTTCGGGTGACATGGCGGTTAGGTACCGGAAGGGTGCTACAGTTGAACGATTGTTTTTACCAGTTGAACCCTCTGGAAAAATTCTTATGGAATTCTATCTTACTAACTGACAAATAAAACCGTAGTGCAAGGTTTTCAGGAAACTGCGTTCGCATGCCATTGGTGCAAAGCAAGAAGATGGCTGACATTGACCACTTCGTAGTTCTCCGCACCGGACCAAAAGCTCGCGCGCATCATCCAAGTTGAACTAGCCTTGCTATCCCGTTCGCCAGCCACATAGGGTCTAGAAGTGATGGTAATAAATTTGGCAACATAAAGAGATTGGTTAGATAAGTAACAATTAAAATTAGAGTCAAGTAAGAATCCACCGAAAAGGGTTCGGCAAGTAAGCTTGGGATTTCTCTCACAGTCAGGCCGGAGCGGTGCCAGCCACGGTCGGCCATAGGAAGCCGTCCAGATCAATGTAGTGTACGGTCGGCATCTCCAATATCGACTGAAATATTTAGTAATATTCAGTAATTTAATTAAATTGTTTCCCACGTTATATTTTCCAGTTTATCGGTCATCTTAGCTCGGCCACTTGGTTTCCTAACGGTGAAGCATTAGATAGTGATTTCAATGTAACGATGCTGATACAGGTGAAAGGGGGAAGGCCTTCGCTGCGGAGTTATTTATTAAAAAATGCCAACTGACCAGTTACAGACTGTTGGACAGGGAAGCAAAACTCTCATTTGCATCGTATTTACAAAAACTGGACATCCATCTTCTCTTGAACGCGTCTTCTTGAACTTTCCTGGATATTCATTGACCCCAATCATTCATTGCTCAAATCCAAGCAAATGCTACAAAGCGGCTCCACAAATTCCCCTTCCCAGAGACACCAAGCGAATTTACAAGAAAAAACATACAACTTGCATGCCTCTCCATCAGTGGTAGCACCGTTACACAGGTACTTTTAGTTAAAACCGCATAATATGATGAGCAGTATGAACTGTCACATAGATTAGGAAAGTTTAGGCCTAGCCACCGTAGACCATTTATTGCACCTTGATCACTTTGACCTTTCGACCTAGATGCGCCTAGATGATTGGACGGGGGAGCCGTGAAAGATGCAGCCAATAGGGACACAGAGAACCATCATCTTGACAGATTCCGGTGAATGCGAAATCTCGCACTGGATTACACTCAGTGGCTCAACACGTTGCAGTACAATTCAGATAAGGTCCATAAAGCACTGATTGAACTGAACGAATTGAACAGAACGCTTCAAAGTTCTAAGTGGGTTAAAAACGACCAAAGTTTACTTCAGAGAGAACTCGACACACAGTAGAATGGATTTGAGCCCGGGTGTAAGTGCATCATGAAAACAAGACAGAGCGCGTTTCACCTTTTTCTGTACTACCTTGTTTGTCACTTTCACCATGTTGCCGAGTATGAAACTTCAGGCATTTCCACTTTGACCTAAGCGGATCACTCCAAGAGAGACGTTTGGCCATCGGAATTTCATGTGCTGCTCAAGTGCTGGACAAAAATTCCTTGCACAGGAATAAAACCAATGCTATGGAGAAATACACTCATTTGCAAATCAACTTGGTTTTCACGAGAGACTCAACTGAATCGCTCGTTTGTGATATTCTATAACTTAATTTGCTGCACACAGGCCGCCTCATGATTTAGTTGGCACAATATTCTGCATATCGCAGTATATTTTCATGGAGGAAACTACTCACAAGTTTGCTGGAAACTCTTCGACAGCCAACGACCGGTTTCGCCCTTCTTGCGGCTCATCAGAAAGGCGTGTTCACCGAGTTTCCGTCGACCATACGTTATACTTGAAAACAAATCGCACGAAAATGCCGAAGTACATTCATTTGCAAACAAAGTTGGAAACTCGGGGACTGCGCCATCCTGATGAGCCCCAAGAAGGGCGAAACCGCGACCGGTTTGCCCTTCTTGCGGCTCATCAGAAAGGCGCAGTCACCGAGTTTCCGTCGACCATATGCTCTACTTGAAAACAAATCGCACGAAAATGTCGAAATACATTTATTTGCAAACAAATTTGGAAACTCGGGGACCGCCCCATCCTGATGAGCCTCAAGAAGAGCAAAACCGGTCGTGGGTTGTCAAAGAGTTTTCAGCTACCTTGGAATTAGTTTCCTTCATGAAAACCAGTGCTACTTTTCACCTTACTGACAAAAATTGATAAAATCCCTGTCATTTCCAACACTGCTATTTGTTACTTTTTGTCGCAGGCATTCCACTCAGAAGACGACATGCAGATAGGCATGGATCCTGTCACCGTGGAACTCGTGAAACATGGACCTGCCTACTCAATGGGCGTCTTTCCCACTACGCACCTGGACCTGTCCATCATGAACTCAACTGTAAAGGTCCACGAGTTCCGCTGCCGCTTCCCGTCTTCGTTCCTTGCTTTGATCACAAACTACCTGGGCTATCTTATTTTCAGTCCCGAAGATACAAAGGAAATCCAAAACGCATTGATCAAGGAAGCCAAAGCTTTACGAAACGTCTCCGGAGAACAGAGTTATGCTCGTCTCATTTCGGATTCTTCATTACCAGCCCAAACGCGGAAGCGATCGAGCAGAACGAGTGGGATTGGTGAGTGAATGTTTAAAGACCAATAAGAAACACGTCATAGATTGTGTAGACGTTCCACAGTATTCAAAGAGTTGCTGAAAACTCTTCGATAGTTCACGGAAAATGTCACTTTTCCTCTTCAGTCTCATCAAGTGGTCCCCTTTTTCCTTCAACCCTAAGTTTTATTCGAACCCAGTTTGGACGCAATTTGCCTAATACTCTTACTCTCACGCTAATTTGATTCTAACGGGATGCTCAGGCGAATCCAACTGAATCTCTCCTTCATTATAATCCTTTTCAGCTGAATGCACAATGCCACCTGATATTTAAGTTGGTATGGCATTCGAGAAGATCATCGTAAACGAATACGGCAGTGAAGTATCGGTGTTGAACACTGATGTCATGTTGTCGATGATGATGATGATGATTGTAAATAAAAGATTCATTTGAGTTACGTTGTTTCCCGATAAAGCAGTATGAGTATCTGGCAAAACCAATAGGTTCCTCGAGTCGAAGGTTTTATGAATGATGTCGTAAACACCGGTGTGAACTGAGACAGAATCCCAAAATCAACTGGCAGTCGGGATAGTAGTTTGATACTAGAACCCCTAGGCTGTTATCGGTGACATGATGTTTTAGCTATACCTTCAGCAAGTCTTATTTTCTGCTTAAAAACCAAATTGTACAAAAGATTTTAAGAACGATCATTGGCAACCTAGATTTCAGCGACCTTATAAGTGGTGTTAGGTCAAGAGAAGTGCTCCAATATTTCAGGAAACTAAAACAAGAAAGCGGCCTTCGTGTGGAATATTCGGTAAAGCGTATCCTAAGCAACAGGTTCAAGTGCAATTCAGTTGGATCCACAGAGAACTATAACTTAGTCTTCAAATGAATGGAACTCGTCGTCTATAGACTTTTTTGGTCCGTATATTACTAACACTCAGTGTTACGGATGACTATCTTCAGAAAAATTGCCTCCAGTCCCCCTAAACACATGAAGATGCATCTTGGGGGGGCTCCCAAATCGGTCAAGAATCTATGACATGGATCTTGGTAATCGTTACCTGAATTGCGCGAAGCCCTATCTCCCAAGAATTCTGACCCTCTTGATTTTGAAAACCCTCCAGAGGTCGGGAACAGTTGCAGATTGTGGTGATCTATGATATGTGTATTGCCTGCTAGTCATCGAGGCCTAAAAATTGCTTGAATCATAATTTCTGGTGTCTGAGGTTTTGTACGGTAGCGATAGAAAACGGCAAATAAAAATATAAGCGCACTATGTTTTGGGCATCACCTATAGCACGACGGTTTTGTGACCAGACCCCAATTGTTAGGTATTTGAATAGAAGAACATGCTTAGAAGTTCTTTGTTTTGACCAGTTTCTCACATTCAGTAGAAATTGTGCAGCTCAAAATCACTTAAATAGATTAGTAATCATTCTTTGTTGAGACACTCTCCGTTGTTGAATCTTCTGTTTCCCATGCAGGGTCGGACCAATTCAAAGCCTGCCTTTAAGTGTCAAATTATGAGTAGTTCGACTGCTGCTGATTGACGGCGTAGGAATGAACCTGACAGGCCTGATCTCACTGGTGAACCTTGTTCTTCCCCTCAAGTTTGCCTCAGCTGGGAATGACTGTATCTCATCGCTTCTTGTCGCACATTCCTGGGACTTGTCCACGAAAAACGTTTTTTCAGGTCAGATAAAAGACATGCCAGTGCGGGAAAGTATTTCCAGATGTTTCTGATACCAACTTTTTCTTTGGATTTCCCAATAATGTGCAAAACAGTTCCGTTGTTTGACGGGATGTTAACACCGTCTCTGTGTTCTGAAAACGAGATGCATAGGATCTGTGCGTTCTCAAGCCATCCACTGTCTGATGTTGAGCATTGACGGTGCTCTAAACTGGGTACTTCCAGGTATCGCATTTCTGGAAAACGGTTTATGTAATTTTCTGGGAATTTCTGTCCAATTCCAAGGGATGTTCATTCGCCAAGTCCCCGGCACTAGTGTGTGTTCAGTCTGCCTTGCCAGTGGGTTTACGAGTGAGTTCACGAAGGTATTCGGTTGAGTCTCACACGTTCATAGCAATCGCGTCGAACCGATACGAAGCCTTGTTTCCGTAGTGACCGCACTTTCTCCAAAGCATCACGCTTGTTGGTCCGGTGCCAGGTTAATCGGTTGCTCCAGGACAGCTGATGTGTGAATTACGGCTGTACCTGTGTCACTCGGTTTCACGACATCCACATTGCGACGGTTGGGACCATCGAGTGTTTCCCAAGTCCTTCTATCCTGCACATAACTATGAAGCAATCTATATATAAATCTTGAAACAAATCTTGTTGCGCTGGTCTGCTGTGGATGGCCAGAAAGTACCCTATCGAGTAGGAAATTACTTCGTAAAAGAAGCTCGCTGTTTGATGTTCAATAGGCGCACAGAGGAGAATCGGCAGTTTTCCAGCCAGCGCGTTCAATTACAACTCGCTGTGCTGATAGGTTTTAAAATATGATCTAGAAACACACCTATTCTCAAAGCTTTCTGAAGAACCAGGTAAACAAGATGCCTGGCCGTTTCCGACAGCTCCACACTCTTAGTTTCCCCTGTTGCAAAGCATGAACCATAAAGCAGATGAAATTGTGTCATTTTATACTTGCAACTTCCACATATCATGCTGGCTTTGTGGATCACAATTATATCAACCTGCTAGAGACTTTGTCTAGGCTTCCGTGAATCTGGCGTTAACCATCTTCGAATTACTTGCTGTATTCGCATGTATCGTGTAGTTAGACTGCCCGTCTCTTCCGAATGACACCCTCCCCCCCCCACACACACACAGAACGCTTCAGCAGCTATATTTTTCTTGAGCCCTTTGAACCCCATACTTTCAAGCCTGCCTTTCCCCCTGGTTTCTTCAATGAATTAGTACTTGCAAAATATTTCTAAATCAAATGTACTTTCGCATTTTGAAGCTCTTCTACACGATGATCTCATCCTCTGGGGATAATTCTGGGAACTAATTATATGTATACTGCTTATTTTGAGGTGTAATAGGTATCTTTTCAAACTTGTCTCTAGAATGAAGAGATAGTGGAGTAATGAAGTTAACATACCTAGCTTCTTTCACCAGAATTTTGGCTGTCGTTGAATAGTTAGAGTTGTAAGGACTGGGAATAACATTCAGTTGATGTCGGACTGGTATTTTTCAAGATTTGTCAGGGGTATACACTTACGATGCGAGGAAACAGATTCATAAGTACCTAAACAAGATTTGTGTAAGTTTCATTTGAGTCTTCCGTTGAAACTTGTCTAAGTATAAATGAGTACTTTTCGTCACTCATGTTCAATGTGAGCCTAAGTAGAACGTTGGGTTGACGAGAACTTGGGACCTGCCTATGACCGAGGGAGGGTAAAACCAGTCTTGAGATGTCGAAGAGTTTTCAGCTAGCGAATATGCACTCATTTGCAAACTAATTTGGTTTTTCGAGAAACTCACCTGGAACTCAGCTAAACCTCTTGTTAGTGATGTTCTCAGGCAACTGAATGTGCTGCACCAGGCCACCTTATGTTTCAGTCGCTAATGATATTCGAGATATCGCGATACATGTCGACGGATTTTCAGCAACCTCATGAGTGGTACATGACAAATTTTTCAGCTACCTTATAGCGGTTCCCCTATCGACAATCTTGTTTGATGTGGCTGCGCCTAGTCGAATGAGACCAGCATGTTCCTCTGTCAGTCTGTGCAAAGCAACGGTTGAAGTGTTCCCGGGTTTCATTTTTATTGGGACACTTTTTGAGAAGGAAAGCTAGTATGTTGGTTGTGTTTGGCAGTGTGCATTTTCACAATCCCCGTATGTGGATTAGAACCCTGTGGCAGGGCTTTCCTTGGACTTCTTAATCAGGACAGTTCATCTGTTGTGCGTTCATGATCTGGAATTACATCAACAGTCAAACTAAAACAGCTTTATGAGTTGGATGGTTGCTTTTCTCTCCAGTGTTGTGGTTTTGCCACTTGCGTCATGATGCAAAAAAACTGGGTAGTGCGACGGTCTTGTTCTTTTTTGTGTCACGGTAATCTGTAAGGCACATATTCGATTCCGTTCGTTAGATTGGCATAACTGGAAGCTCATGCAGAGTTTTATACAAACCATGCACCTCTGGCTTTTCATAGCCTTCCCACGACAAAGATTGAAAAAGTGAATCACACGGAAAAGAAGAATTGCCGCCCAAAACGTAGTGAAAGTATGCATTCCACAAATCGGAAGGAATTTCTCATTCGGACGCTTTGAATTCTGGTGTGGCCTAGTCATTCGTTAGCTAATTAAACCTGTCTAGTTTTGTAGCAGCTGATTATTAGAAACGTTCAAGCATTTATCTTGTCGGCAGTTGGAACTCTTCTCTTTTGTTGGTGAGAAACTCGTCGCCTGATATTGCTTCTTCTTGCAGACAAAGAGCTTGAACACTGGTACACAGTGGTTCATACGCTGGTACGTTATCTGTTGGAAAACAAGCGCTGTAAGTTCAGCCCTCTTTTACTAACACACATCCGACCATTTGACCGTTTTTGTAAGAGTCCTACCTGATATTTTCAAATTATCAACAGACAAACAACGCTTCATTCTTCGAAGGCCCGGGAATCAGTCGAACACGAACGAGCTGGAACGAAAACTGTTCCCGCCACGTCTGAACATCTGGACCTGTTCGAAAGATCAGACGGATGAGCTAGTACATAGACCCGCAATGGTACCGGAAGTCTTATCGATCCTCAGAGGCTACGATACCAGCGTATTGGCCAGTGTTCTGGCTCGTATATTGCGTCCCCACGGAGTTGGTCTAATCCCTTGTTACTTGCGCAGTCTGTTTCTCCAACTCGTAAGCAACACAGTGGAAAGCGAAATTCATCAGCGACGTGCAATTCGTCTGCTTTTCCAACTGGTGCCCACACGATTACTAGGTATGGTTATACGTCCTGTGTTCGAGCTCCTGGCTGGTATTGCGAACGAGCCCACCTGTGAAGTGGACGAATACAGTTTGGCTATCCTCTTCTCGCCCATACTCTTTCTAGACCAGTCCACGACCACTCCGGCCTCGTTGGCGAGTCCACTTCCTGCCCGCGCTGTCGAACTACTTGTACGGACAGCCCTTCGAGATTTGCAATCCCATCAGTCATTGGATCGCACATTCAGAGTCCCCGTACTTTTCCAGAAAGACTGCCTGCGAAATCTTACTCAGCATATGGTAAGCTGTGGTTGGTTTTTCAAATCGATCCCATAGTTTAGTTTGAAAATGTTTCTAATCGAATGAAAGTGGTGGAAAATCGATTCACTGCACATAATACTTGTCCGTACCTGACATTTTTATTCACTCGCATTTGGGATAGATCAGGAGGCGAGATGGCTCAAGTGGATAGAGCGCGAATTTACTGACCGGAAGTTCCGTGGTTCGAACCCGACCTCCGCCTCTCGACTTCCCCTGTCCAGGTTTGGGCAACCTGACAGTATCCCAGCCCTTGTGCTTCCTTCGGATCGCATGGCAGCTAGGCACCGAAAGGGCGCTACAGCTGAAGGATTTTTTTTGAAGGGACAGATTAGATAATATCCATCTTCGAAAGTTTAACAAGGTTTTGTAACCTGTGAGTAAAGAATTGAGATAAAAATAGGCTGGACCCTACTCTTCCCGACTTGCACACTGATGGAGGAGGATGTAAGACTCCCCGTTCAAATTCTCAAAATTAGCGCTAAAGGCTATTCCTGAAAAAGGGAATAAGGAACAGAAAAGTCTTTTTCTGTTATTTTATAAGCTTGTACTACTTAAATTTCATTAACTCGTTACTATAAATGCTAAGTCTGATTAAAAGTTCCGAGTTAACTCCAAGCACTTTTAGACGGTTCCGTTGTTGCCTTTTGAGACCAAGACTTATCTTTTTTCCTCCCCTCAGTTACCGTTCATTGGCTTTTTTTCCGTTTCAGATACTGGACAATCCACAATTATCGTGCAGCCTGAAGTACTGTGTTTGTAGTAGGGAAAAATCAAAGGCCAGTCGATCAACCCAGACCGATTGGAATACAGAACCAAGTGGGAGTAGCACCTTTTAATACCTATATACAGGTAGGCTTCAGATTCATATAGGCTGGCTTTGCTTTTCCACTTTTGCTGTTTATTGTTTGGTGTAGTAGCAACATCAATGCGGACAGTAATGCAGCTTATCTGGCGAAGGTGACGAAGTAGGCAATGCCACACGTGGGAATTATGACAACACGATAAAAAGACAAACAGAAGTTCATGTCCCCATTCCAGCCCACAAAAAATAATCCATTGTCAGTCAACAAATACACATATTTGCATGCCGGTTTGAGTTTCTTCAACTAGATGTTCTTTCTGTACGAAGGCCGCCTCATGTTTCAGTTGGCAAGATATTCGAGATATTGCGGTATATTTTCATTAGAGAAACTACTCACAAGTTTGCTGGAAACACTTTAGCAGCACGTGACCGGTTCATCTCTTCTTGGGGCCCATTAGGTGGGCGCAGTCCCCGAGTTTCCGTCAACCTTACATTCTACTGGAGCCCGAATTGGACCGATATTGACATACATGCTCATTCGCTTACCAGTTTGGTTTCACAGGAAATTCACATAGATCTTAGCTGAATCTCTCGTTTATGGTAGTCTTCAGCTGAGTTAAGCTCCCCTGAAAACCAAATTAATGTGAAAATGAATTCATTTATGGATTTCGTACAAACTTGGTTCACAGAAACTTGAGGAATGCCTCTACCTGACGAGTCCCAAGAAGTGTTCAGCTATTGATTGTTCATTTTTGCCACCACTACTACCGAAATTTTAACCCCGGAAATTTTAAACTTCGTAACCTTACAAAGCTAGAATAACCTAGAATTGTGCATCTAACCTCTCAATCGAAGTTTGGCTGCTTGTTATGCAGAGATGAACTATTCAAATAAGGGTGCTTATATGCGCTTTTCGTTCACAATATCTAGCAAAAGGTTGGTACGCAGAAAGTTAACAAATGCACCGCTTCTTGTAGAAATTACGTAAGAAAACTCACCGACTATTTTTTCGTTTTCTGTTACACGCACCGCCGTATCCAACTTAAGTATTGGAATAAAGGTTCAGGCAAATTATCGGTGCTGATAAAACATTCTGGCTTTAAATATTTTTACGTTTGGAGGTGTCGAGTGTCTCTGGGGTTCTCTGTTTTTCGAGGCTCTCGCCCTTCCGAATAATTGGAAGTAATTATTTCAAACTGTTAGCCGGAAAGGACTTTTTTTTATTTATTCAACGAAATTTTCACCTTTCACCTTAAAAACATTCGGTTTAGTGTGGAGAAGATTGTGCTTATATCTTCATTTTTTCGCGCTGTTTATGGTTGAGCCTGACCCATTTCTCACTGCCCCAATTTCGTTTGAGACCAAATAATCGGTTATCTCAGCAAGTTCATTGCTTTTAAATTTTGCGACAGAAAGGAACAAAGCCTATGCTGTAAAATCAAAAGTAACTCCTTTAGAAATGAATCGGAGAAATTCTAGGTTTTTTTTTAGGAGACTCATTGCACACAGGGTTAACGATGACAAGACCATCTGCGCTGTTCTTGCGGCTCAACAGGTAGGCGCAGTTCCCAAGTTCCCATCAAATTTATACTCTACTTGGGAATCGAACTTTATAAGGTTGGAGAAGTATTATACTCTTTCTATAATTAACTGGTGAACAAGTACATACATTACACTACCTCGAGTCTCCTACCATCTGAAACATGAGACGGCTTTTGTGCAGAACATTTTAGTCGAAGCATATCACAGAAGAGATATTCAGCTAGCATTCACCTGAGTTCACCAATTACAAAAAAATTATTTGCGATTTGGTGGGTTTTTCAGAGAAAGACCTATTCCCAGTGGTGGATGCCTTCGTATAACGGGCTCTGGAGAGTGAATGATTTCCTAATTCAACTACTTATGAGTAGCTGCGGAATGCGTAGGACTTTTATCTTTATTATTGTCATTCGGGGGTTCCCATGTCCCGGGAAATGGTGGTTCTGTTTAGTTTTTACCAAGGGAGGGAAGTCGTTTACCCTCTTGCTGAAGCCCGTCTGTTGTGTTGGCGTTGATCGTCCTGGAACCCAACTCCGAATCTACGTTTCTCGGAAGTGCTTCTTATCAGCCGGTCCAGGGAAGAATACCCGAATGTGGTGACGCTTGGTCCTTGCCCAAGATTTCTCTGAAAGCTTGTGATATGGCACACGCTCAATAAAGCAAGTCTGCCAATCATGACCGCAGAATTCACACAGTAAAATCAACCAGCACAGCATCAGGCGACAGTGTCAGCTGACTGACCACCTTAAAAGGGGTTTCAAATTTCGCTGCAATCAAAAAGAAAACGGCTGTGCAACGTCTTTATTTCCACATGCGTTTGGTCTGAACATTCTTTATCCTGTCCCAACACAATGTTTCTGGTTAGTCCACACAAAGCTGTGTAGCCTTGCTTACGGTGACCAACAGTCCAGCATTGCTTGTTCACTTGAACCGAATGAAGAGACTACTGCGACAGTTCGATGATGATCTTTTATACAACAATAGAATATGCAGAATTATAATTTCCAGGTCGTGTAATTATCATCTTTGTGGTAGTAGCGAATACTTAAGCACAGATAAATCATTCGTCATACTTATGTTACTGACCTGCTTGAGTAATTACACTCCAGTTATAAGGTTTATATTTTGTCCTTTTTTTTACACAATATCCGTCTACTCAGCCACCCACCGCTGGAAAGCCAGGATGCCGGCATGCCAACATTGTCGGGAAGTTTCTACTCTATGTTTTGATTGCCTGAATCAATAACTGAGCTACGTCGTGTTGTAAAATTGACCCATTTCTTCTGTGCGCACGTAGTGGAATTATCAAGCAGAACCCTTGTGTGAACATTCTCACTTTCGTTGTGTCGGTTAGGTAAAAGATCGTGGAATAAATTGCCATAAATCAGTTGTTTTGCGCTTTTGTTTTGGTGGTTGGTTTGAATGGGTAACATTCGAATCATATGTACCGGCTGAACTGTAGAATTTTTAAGCAAAGTTAAACAAGCGGAAAATTTGTACGGAGCCGATTTTGGTGCAGTATGCAAGACCTTGACGGAGAGGAAGAGCTCAAGGGTGCAAGATTGACATTCAAAGACTCGTACAAACCATCATTTGGCCCAGATGTTGTGACATAATAGGGAGCACCAGAACCAGTGAGCTAGCGACGTCATAATTCAACTTCCTCAAGTTTCAGCATAATGCGGCACCTTCTAGGTCAATAATAAGGAACTGAATAACGTGGAGGTATTCCGTTGCAATACTGTCGTTCGTAGGATGGCAGTATGACAGACAGATACTGATTGGAAATTGAAACAAGCGCACCTCAGTTTCGTTTGCTTACCAACTAGGACAGTAGTATACGTCGCTACACTGGTGGCCCATAAGGTCCATCCTGTTAAGGGACTTGCTCATGTACGTCAGGCAAATCCGCATTAAAGTGATCACACTGGAGAGACCGTCCTTTATTCTGGAAGACTAGCTTATTGCGTAGCATAAGGACCGAGAATTTATCAGAGACTCCCACGTCCAGCCCTTCTCTAGTGGTTTTTTCCCTTCTAAGTACATTTATTATTCGAAGTGGGATTTAATGTTTGTTAAGACTACCCCGAGTTTTTACTCCACTTATCACATGACCTTACACAGTTTGCCTTGAGGTAAGATTATCACTCTTTCGTTTCAAATGGCCCGACTAATCGAGCTAACTTTACATCAGACTGGAGCCAATCTGATGAGAGTTTGCACTTTCTGGGTCTTGGGCTTAAAGATAGAGAAATGACGTCGATGGTGCAAGTAGAATCGATGAAATGCTCTTGTATGGTATTAAGGTTGTCGAGCACGACAACCCGGTACAGCTCTTTGTTGGTATCCATGTACAAGTGTTATTGTCTCTGGATGTGTTTCTCCGTGCGACTAAATAGTGCGTCGGTCTTCGTGATTCGTGCATTCATTATCGAGCTCCAGGTTTTTGGACACTATAACTTCAGGCTAGCGGAAATCTGGAAAAATGCTCTCTCAACCACTTACCTGAATGTCTGATATTTCGTATTGGTAGACGGCTGACTCTGATTGAGGCTTTTCCCTTGTGTTAGAGATAAGTCACGAGTAATTCAAAACTCTCACTAGTCTTTCAAAAAACCAACATGTCATACAGGGTAAC